GAGGAGAGAGACGAGAGAGAGAGAGAAGAGAGACGGAGGGAAGAAGAGAGAGAGAGGATGACGAGAGAGAGAGGAGAAAGAAAGAGAGAGAGGAGAGAGGAGAGAGGAGAGAGAGAGGAAAAGGGAGAAGAGAGAGAGAGGAGGAGAAGAGGAGAAGAGAGAGGAGAGAAGAGAGGAGCAGAGGAGAAGAGAGAGGAGAGAGAGAAGAGAGAGAGAGAGAGCGAGAGAGAGAGAGAGAGAGAGAGAGAGAGAGAAGAGAGAGAGAGAGAGAGAGAGAGAGAGAGGACGAGAGAGAGGAGAGAGAGAGAGAGAGAGAGAGAGAGAGAGAGAGAGGAGAGAGAGAGAGAGGGGGGGGGCAACGGGCAGCAGGCAGGGGATTGAGAAAGCCTCATGTCCTTGAGAAAGTATTTGTCTTCAGACGGAAGTTGTGAGTGGTGCAACAGTGTTGCTAACAAAGTGTTTTTAAGATGTGATAAGATCAAAGATTCCTTTGTTTATAATACAGGTTGATTGTTATCAATCTTGCTTTTATAATTCATCTCAATTGCAGCTATATTTTACAACAATCACCCATTGAAGCACAGTATATATAATACTGCAAGCATGATATGGTCATCTAAACACTTGCCATCGTCATTATTATTGATATCTATATATCTGTTACTGCTGTACGATTGGTAACCTCCATTTAATATATGTAGCATAGTAATCATTAAATTTCTGGTGCCAATAATACACCAGAACGAAGTTATTAGCTAAGATCATTGATATCTATTTCAATAGATTATTATTGATTAAATGGCAGGTTACACATACATTTTTCGCTGAGATATTCAATACAATGTTGTCATGGATATTTCGAAACGGTTCAGTCTTATTCTTCTTTCTTCTTTTATAGGGTTTTAGACTAAAACGAATCCGTCGATATTCAGAGAATTTGGTGTGTTGGCAACACTTACTTTGGACAGGAAAACATGGAACGGAGAAATAGTAAATATTACAACAGGCACAAAACACGTTCGTAACAGAAAACTGAGAACTCCATTTCTTCCTTACAAAATGTGTTACCATAGTACCAAAGCCTTGTATATTAACAGTAGAGGAGATCCACTAAGTGAGTATATAGTTAATTTACTGTTATCAATATTTGAAGATATAAATTGATCGACCAGTGCATCAGTATATCGTCAGATGTCTACAGTAAACCAACACATACCATATACAACATACAAAACAAAAGGGAAAGACTAAATCCGTAGCATATGCAACCTATGATATGTCAAAATCACTCTAAAAAGGCCATCTCCTAAAAATGCAATGACCCAGCGGAACTCTTATCGTCTGCTAACCCAGCGTGAACGTTGGGCCGCTTGGAACGAAACGCCTTTTGTAAACAACGTTTGCTCGGCGATACGAAGTTTGAACACCTTGCCATCCGATAAATCCCCTTTTCAAGGTGTGATATCCATTCTCGAATGTATGTTAGAGTTATGGAAAGGAATCATGTAGGGGCTTGGTATTTTTGTGTCTTGGAGGTCGTTTAGTGAGTTATGGATGCTTCTGTCACGTTACGAACGTTGTGTTGGTACTTCGTGCAAAGTCAGAGGACACCAAAATGATCTGCCCTTTTGACAATATACCGTAATAATGTCATCATTCCTGTAATACAACTTATTGTTGTATTAAAGAATATAATGCTGTTCTTAATCTACTCTTGATGTATACATATATTACAATAATATGCACTGTATGATAACATGTCATTCAGGGGCCGGATTCACTGACATACGATCGTAAGGCATTTACCAGCGGTCATTTACCATTGTGTTTACCAGTCATGGCAGGGGCCGGATTCACTGACATACGATCGTAACGCATTTACCAGCGGTCATTTACCATTGCGTCTACCAGTCATGGCAAATCGGGATTCAGGAAGAAATGGTACTTTGGATATGCTGAGTTACAATCGTAAATCGACTCATTCTTATGGTAGCCAACAGAGGGCTCTGGTAAAGCAATTCAACCAATCAGCAAGCGTTATACATAATCTGTTAGGTTCCTTCGGCCAATCACATAACATGTAAACAGAACTAGACACAGCGAGATTGTTTAAATAATCGTCAGAGCTAAAACACTATTTAAGCACATGTAGAAAAAAAAAATTTATTTGATTACATCCATCATGTTAGATATATATTTACTGAATAGATAGGAACCAATAAAATCAATGTTATATCAATATATTATTGTTAACTCAAACCAAAGAGACAGTGCAAACCGATTTTTATTTATATATTTTCCATCATTGTTAAGTAAAGAATCGGATTAAACAATTTTTTTATTCATTGCCATTTGTTGTCAAAGGAAATATCTCAAGCTTATTCTTGCCCATGCACTTTGGAGTGTATTGTCAAAATGCCGACAGATACAGATATTGCTATACCCATTTAGCGTTGGTATTGCCAGTTTATATATCAGCAAGGTATTTTTTTTTCTATAGCATTTGTAATAATTAAGTCAGAGGAGAAGTCTTTAAGAGTTCACTTATTTATCTGTTCCATACATTCTAGTACAATGTAGGACCCGGATTCACTAACGCACTTACGATGGTAAAATCACTGGTAACTATAGTTACCATGGTAAACAGACAGCGGTGGTATTCACTAACAACTTGCCATTGGAGTTACCATAGTAAATGTTACCAGTGGTCAGAGTACTGGTAACTTCTGGGAAGACGATGTCATCACGTGTTATCTCGTCAAAAAACAATATGTAAGCAAAGTTTTGGGTTTGTTTTTACACCTGATATAAGTAATATGATGGCAAACAGATATCACAATGCGGACATAGTGAAGAAATGCAAATTTCACATGAAACTAGCAAGAATAAAATTCACACAAATTCTCGTAAACTTATAGGCCTACATTATATTAGAATGCATGGAACCGATAAATAAGAACTTAAAAAAAAATCTAAAAATCTAAAAATTTAAATCTAAAAAGGCCTATAAGTTCACAAGAATTTGTGTGGATCTTATTCTTGCTAGTTTGATGTGAAATTTGCATTTCTTCACTATGTCTGCATTGTGATGTCTGTTTGCCATCATATTAGTTACATCAGGTGTAAAAACAAACCCAAAACTTTGCTTAGATATTGATTTTTTGACGAGATAACACGTGATGACATTGTCTTCCCAAAAGTTACCAGTGCTCTGACCACTGGTAAAATTTACCATGGTAACTCCATGGAAATTGTTAGTGAATACCACCGCTGTCTGTTTATCATGGTAACTATAGTTACCAGTGATTTTACCATCGTAAGTGCTTTAGTGAATCCGGGCCCAGGTCTGGTTTCTGGCATTTTTAATTTATCATTCTCTTAAAGAATTTTATGTCTGTGTTGAAGACATGCAATCTTCATTTATTATATAGTTATCAACTCATACTGTTCAAAATTTCATCGTTATCCTCTTAGTTTAAGATTAACCATTTGTATTTTTGCACATAATGACAATTTGTTTGATTTTCAGATGGATGCTAACTTTGAAAGTGATGATGAAACAGTGAATGGGAGAGATTATGACCTAGAAAGGCATAAGGCACATGTTCTGGCAGAAGTGGATGCCATTTTTGGCTTTAAGCAGAAAAGAAGTGAGGCAGCAGTAAACGATGTTGAAGAAACAACAAAAGGAAATGCAGATAAAGTGTATTACAGAGAACAACAGAGTAGTAAATATAATGAATATGCACACAACAGAGAAAAAGAAGTACAAGACACTGGTTTCTCTGAACCCTACATGATACCCAAAGATACCAGATATATGATGAGTCCGAAAGAGGCAGCAGAATACAGTGAAAGAAGTGCCGATAATCATGGAGAAAGAAATGAACAGACAGAGAGGGACCAAACAGAATCACATTCCGGGGAGAGTTGCCAGTTATACACCCCTGCGGAAGCAAGTGAAAGAGTGAATGATGTGCCAATGGAAACGGAAAACGTGCACTATCGGCAGCTAATGAAATTTGACTTTGAGTCTCCTGTTGAAACCCTGGATTATAAAAAGTGTTTTCAGGAAATGGAAGATAATTACACAAAAGGATGTAAATGGTAAGCACTTCATTTATACATTGCTTATGTAT